TTGTGATCACTGTTAAGCAAGACTTGGCTATAGACTTCTTCGAACTTTTGCTTCATTAAGTTTTATGCTCATTGTCCTATTTGTTAGAAATTGTTGAGGAAGGCATTCTGACTCATTAGCTTCGATGTTGAAGTTGGCTTTTGCATCTAGCAATCATTGGTGATGATTGACTATCATCTAGAATAATTGATTATCCTTGTCAAAGTTTTACTCGATTGTTATTGAATGATTTACCATTCTTTGGGATGGTGGATTCTTTTTTCAACGATGATTATGCATCTCTCTATTAATGGGATGATTAATGATCTTTTATGATAGTTAATTGTGAGGTTTGATAGCTTCTAGCTTTTCGCATTACCACTTGTTGTTTGTGGTTTGCTCTGGATTGATCTCTTGGGTTTGAGATATATGTAGGATGTTGTTGATTCTTGCTTAAGCAACTTTGGTTCTTTAGTATTGTTAACTGGGTTCTATATAGATTGGCTAATATGATAATTGAGATGAACAAATGTTTGTTAGTCTTACCACATTCATTCTATTCTATTGATTATTGTTCGAGTTAGTTTTGATAGATTTGGATGTTATTTCCTTTAGGTGATACATTCATAGGCATCTTACTTGCCAGTCAATGGATACTTTGTGTTCTTTTAGTTGTCTTTTATAAGTTGTTTAGCATGCTATCTGCAATATTCGGTAGTTAAGTTTTTTCATTGAGTTTACTTAATGATATACTTGCTATTGAATTTTGTTGAATGGTGAATTTTGTATTTACCAGTTATGATGATCTTGGTGGTTCCTATACTAAAATACTGCTTTATCAGATAATAACTTACTTGGATTATTTTTGTGTTCTAATCTAAGATATAATTAAGTCTCTAAGATATCATTGTCTATGACTTTGATATTGTCCATCTATTGCTCTTTGAGTTTAGGCCAATATAGGCAGACTGGCTTTGGCCCTTCATGTGCATGGTGAAATCTTTAGTTATCACCCACCTCTTTGTCGATGTTCCTTATTCCGTTCAAAGGGCGTGACCATGTAAACAACTTTATGTTTAGCGCAGTCTATCTAAACCTTACCGATGGGTTTTGTTTCTTTGCTTATGAGGGTTCTTTCTCTCTCTATATCCCTGTAGGCAGGGTGTATCACACTTTTGTAAGTTAGGTGACAACTAGAGCAACAAGGGCGGCTAACTTTGTTAGTCATTTCCTTGTTGGTGATGGCTAGAAGGTGTCTGAGTGGGTAGTGCATCCGCGTTAGACAAAGAGGTTACATTAACTCATTTAAGTTAATGTATTTCTCACATAATGTGAATACCGTGAACTTTTTCTAGAGTTGTTTCCTTGGCGGTATTCTAAACTAAAGTATGCATCGACAAGGACATCAATCTTCCCTAAAGGGGGGAGAGTGTCGCAAATGTGACTTCGGGTATCAAAAGTTACCTATCAGTTAGTCCTTTCAGATATTCTTTCCTTATTGCCACGACGGCAAGAGGTCGATATTGCTAGTTCCTTTTATCAACCCCTCTTGTTCAAATGTTAGTTTACTGGGCTTAGCACTTGTACTTTGCCAGATGGACATAAGGTAGGAACTTCTATGTGTTTTTAGCTGAGCATACTCGGCCTGGCTCTTAGTTCTCTTTTGCTCTAAAATTCTTGAAATGTTAGTCTCCAAAATAAGGCTTCATAATCATAGCTTATTTGTAAACATAAGAGCTTCTAGAATTCTAGATTATTGTGTATATCTATGCTATATCATTTTGATGAAATCCTACTTCATTATGCATATATTTTTTTCCACATATGCCAATTTTCTAGAGAAATAGACTGTAGGGAAATATAAACCACATTATAATGGTAGGGAATACTAACACGCTATCATTCTCTTATGTGAGATTGCCTTTCAGTCTTGGAAATGTATATAAAATTGATTCTTTGATATTGTATTACTTTTGAGTCTTTCAAAAGATTTTAATTTCTTTTATTATTATTCACAAACAATTCTCAAAAACTCTTATTAGGGATTCACTGCAAAAATATATCTTGATATTTTTATATAGGAGGATTTCAATATAAACAAGTAATAGAGTTTTTTATATGAATTAATATATAAATTACAAATATTATGGAAAGTTTTAAGGTGTAGATTTCTTGGTTCTTTCTACTATGTTGTTCATCTCTATTATTTCAGAAATAACATAGTATTTTATCAATGGTGACAGTGGTTTTCATATTCCCAGATGAGTAATAAGGACTAGAGTGTAATATAGAGATTATGGTAGTGAAATGATATTAATATTTTCACATTCCTATGCATTACAACTCTTACTTACATATCTTTTATTTTCTTTCTCAAGATCTTTTAAATAACAAAAATCTTTTGAAAAATATTTTATTCAAAAAATCTTTTGAATAAAGGAATAATATGTACAGCTATAAAAGTATTAAAAATACTAAGTAGTCAAATAAAAATATGACAGTTGTAATTATAAATTTTTACCACCTTTGTATCTCTAATCATTTTTCTTTTTCATTTTTCGGATACTTTAATTTATCAACTCAACACCTTGATAAATGCCCAATTTTGTTTAAGTTCTACTTAAAACCACTAATTTTTTTTAATTGGCTAAGTTTTTACCACTTTTTACCTCCTCTAAAAGCTCCAACTCAGCTTAGTTGGTAAATGCCTAAGTCATCCATGTAGTGAGAATATGTATTTATTTTCTACCTCTACTAGCTATAATCATATAGCATTCAACCACATTATGAGACTCTTATTGGTTTTTATTCAAGTTGAAAATGCTTAAAAGAAAACAATTTGAGGTATTGACTTAGATATTTATTTTGTGACTACAACCAACTCTTTGTCCTTGAACTTTGTTACAATGTAGACTTCTACTACCATTGCTCATCTATTTGATAAAAAATCTGGCAAAAAAGCTTCTATTTTATGAAAAAAAAATTATTTTTACCATTCTTACCCTCAACTTGGATCAAGTCCTAATTTGATCCACATCTATGACAAAAAGAGCTATAGTTTCTACTAAATGCCTTAAAACTTCATTCTTTTCTCTTCCATCCTTTATAGAGTTTATTTTCACCTTAGTGGTCTACAAATACACTCAACACAAAAACATGCCTATAACTCATTTGCGCATTTACTTTAAATGACATCTCTAAGTAACCTAAACCCCCTCAAATAAACCTTTTGCAGTCTTTTTAATTGCTATTAGTCAGTCCTTTGCAGCTTCTTCTATAGTTGTTTGCTACCTACAAGCATTTCTAATTTTAACACTTTCTTGATTGTTCAATAATGTTGACATAAGATGCTTCTTTCTTCCATCTTTAGAATTGTGTTCCACAATAAATGCCAATTGCCCTTTATCTCCAAAGTTAGAAATGTTCTTAGGTATTCCAAATGGTCTTTGACCTCAGCCTCTACCACCTCCTCCAAATCCTCATCCTCATCTTGGAAGACTATGTTAATATTGGTGGAATGGTGCAAAATTGTCATACAACACTAAAAAACTCAATGTAGTCTCTTTACAAATCTCTACTTTTAGAATTTATTTCAATTGGCTTGGCTTAAATCATGGTGGTTCTTTGTAGTTGCTTGGTCCTCTATTGTTCTAAAGCTAAGTATGAGGCACCAAAACCTATTATAGCCATCCAGCCAAATGCCTACAAATTACTATTTGTTATTAATGATTCATATATATATTTCACCTCATTTATATCACCCCAAAATTGAGCCAAGAAAATTCCTCACATTAAAATCTTACTCACCATAACTCTTCCAAGATCATTAGAATAGGCAGATTCTAAATCTACTTTGGTTGATCCTAGGTGTGAAAGATTAAACTTGTTAGAACTTCCATGTGTCACCAGCTTGATTATTTAACTTAAAAACTACAAAAGTGTTGGCTAAAGCTCCATTAGCCCAAGTATTGATCTTGCCCACATGCAACTTCAAAAAGCTGTTAAAGTGTAGACACAACTTATAGAAGCGTCAGGCAAAAGACCCAGCTAGGACAAGACACATTATTACTATCAAACTCACTCTCAGACACTCATAAAACTTTTGGGGCCATTAGATTTCTCCAACTGGCTAAAAGATTCACAAGAAACCCCATGGCAAGGGCATTAACACACTAGAACCCTAGATGTTCAATAGGGGGATTCCCCACATACCAATGAAACAACACTAGAACTCTCACTACAACTCAATGCAAGGCCTTTATGTGGGACAAACCTCGAGCTGCTCCACTTTACACTCTCAAACACACAAACATTTGAATGCAAAAGCCCCAAAGGGATGGAGTTAGGCCCAGCTTGACCTCACAAAGTCACAAACACCTCTCTTTTATACTACTTATGTAGTCACTCTTTAACTTTTTGATCTCCAACACCATAGATGCTCAAATGAGGCTGCTATTCCAAAACCCATCTCATCATGTTCCTAAGAAGAACAATCTTTCATATGTCTATGATCTCCCTCTAATTGCAAATACCCAAATCCAAATCTCGCATGAATTTGCAATTGGCTGCCTGATCACAGATCTCTAAATCTTATACCATGAGTTTTGCTGTTTTCCAATGGGCAGCAAATAAGCAAGTTTAGTTTTTAAGAACCTAATCTATTAATAGCTCTTAACTGATTTACAAAAGCTTCCTATTTAAGATCTATATTAACTGTTAATAGTTCAGTTTATAGTATTTTAATTCCCAATACTAAGAAAATAGTCTTTATCTTCATCCTTTAATTCTTTTGGAGATGATGCAATTAATAGAGGTGCTATGCAAATACTTTTTGGAGTTACATTTTGGAAGGTTTACTGCAATTTCTATTTCCCAACAAAACACTTCTTCACCCTTCAATATATTCTGTTACCACAAGAAATTTAAGTGCCAGTATTTGCTGTATGTTTTTAATTATCAAGTGCTTGTTAGAACCAACGGGACCTCCTGGTAAAAATAATGTCTAGGGTTCTAGAATTCTTTTAGGGTTCTTGGATCATGAATTCCGCCGACGCGGACGCCGACATTGGGAAGAGGCAAGAGATCCTGGTACGTGATTTTCCCGGCAGGAGGAGCGAAATCCAGGATCTCCTGTCGATTTTGGGAGGCCCGTGTGATTTCTTCCCGCCGCTGCTCGTACATGGCGCTGCGTCTACCGGCAAGACGAGCGTCGTCAAGGAGATCTTCCGGCATTTGCGCAGGCCATACGCATACGCGAGCTGTCGATCGTGCCATGCCGCCAGGATTTTGTTTGAATCGATCATCAACAGCCTGGTTGGGCACGTGAGGAGCGCCGAGATTGGCTACTCCAGCGCGCGCAAGTGTGAAAGAGCCTCGGATTTCGTGGAGTTTCTTCCAGATGCTTGCGAGGAGGCTATTCGTCGATCCAACAATGAAGTGGGTGCATTCTTTTATCTGTCAGTCGTTCATTTTTCTTTCTCACAACTCGTTTTTCAGTACAGAGCTGCTCGTCTCCATCAAACGGCAAAGCCAGTAGCGATGATCCGGTCACTGTGTTTGGCAACTTGAGCTGGTTCAAGCGAGAAACAGGGGTTGTCTACCTCATCATTGACAACATTGATCTCGTGAGGAACTGGAGTGGTGGACAAAACCTTTTATCGGTTTTGTTTCGGCTTCCAGAGCTCTCCCGGCTCCCGCAGCTGGGAATGGTATTCATCAGCAGCGTTGGCCCGCATGCTTTCATGTCCGGCACAGGATGCCGGCAGCCCCTGCCAGTTTACTTCAGAGATTATCTAGACGACGAACTCTTCCAGATCCTGGTGAAGAAGCAAATCAAGTCCGATCTCTACGTTTCGTTTCTCAAGTAAGTTGCTTCTTTCATGCCGAGGGATGATACTCATGCGCCTTAATCTTTTGGTTTCTCCAGTGCGGTGTTGAAGCCGTTTAGCCGAGCAACACGGAGAATAACCGAGCTCATGATGCTGCTGGAGCCTCTGTTTGAGCAGTACTGCGCGCCGGTGGTCTCGGGAGCGGTGCTTCCGGACGAGCAAGGGAAACGAAAGCTCTTCACGCTTATCAAACCACACGTTCGCAGCTTCTTGGGACGGGCTTCTTCTATCCTTGCAGCATCTCCAGGAAAGTTATTGGAGTCACCAGGTGGAGGAAGATCAGTCATCAGCGCTCCAGCGTCCGACGACCAACTGTGCAATTTACAGTTGCCTCTCTGCAGTAAATATCTGCTTCTGGCGGCATACATCGCTTCCACTAATCCAGCTACATTGGATGCCGCTTTGTTTGATGCCGGCCACGCAAGTGGCTCGAGGAAACGAAGGCGAAGGTGAAGCTCAATTTCTAGTTATTTCTTCTCTTTTCTCTTACGTGTTCCGATCACAGGAGTTCTCTGTCAGCCACGGAAAAGAAAGAAAACAAGGAGATGGAGAGGCAACTCAAAGGTCCAGGCAGCTTCTCTCTGGAGAGGCTCCTGGCAATATTCTCGTGCATTGCAACCGGCCCTGGATTTAAACTCGGGATTTCTGCTCATGACAACAAACTGGACGAAGACGCAGGCATGGAAGTCACGTCCGATGTTCTAATGCAGCTATCAACGCTCGTCGGCGTTGGTCTGATATCACAAGGACTCACTGATCCACTTGAAGGATCTCCAAAGTTTCGGTGCAATGTGGAGGAGGAAGTCATCCATATGGTAACGTTTCATTCCTTCTTTAACTTCAACTATGGTTTTCGCTGGCTTTGCAGATCGCTAGGAGCACTAGCTTTCCACTCGCTAAGTACCTGTACTACAACTGTTAAACAGGTGCCTTTTCTTAGATCAAGTTTTCAACGACCATCATAGATGCTGCAAAACAAGAGCATTGCTTCGGTGATACATTACATCGCAAATGGCTGTAGACTACGCTGAGAAGTCGCAATCGAATCCGGGATACTCGTGAGGAGAGTTCCAACGTCAAATCCATCGTAGTTGTATCCACTCGATGTCTAAACCATTTTCGGAAACTACCACTTAACAAATTGATCGATACCTCTCAAGCGAGCGTCGATTTTCCCCTGCGAAGATCAACCAAAAAATCGTTACTGACCAAAAAAATTGATCATTTAGGGCTTTACTTTGCATCACAGACATGTTTCGCCAGACCCACGTGTATGCCACGTCAAAGAGCAAAGCGATGACATGGAATGGAATATGCAGTTATACCTGCATTAGGGCTTTTCCACGCGGAAAAAGAGGTGCGCGCGCGACGAAGTCCCAGATCTAGAGTTCTCGCGATCACAAGTTAGGGTTCTTCGATCTGGGATCTCTCAGCCACTAGGGTAACAGCAATCTTCTCATCGCCGCGAGGGCCATGGCGGCCATTCCTAGGGTCAGCATCCTCGGCTTGATTCTAGCCCTGCTCCTGCCGCTGCTGGCCGTGGCCGAGATCAAGCGCACCAAGATCAAGGACGATGGCCGCCCGCTCATCATGTTCGAGAAATTCGGCTTCACGAACCGCGGCGAGGTGGGGATCTTCGTGTCCGAGGTCCACGTCTCGTCCGAGGCCGATCTCTCGCTCATGGGCTTCTTCCTCAGCACCGAGGAAGCGCTCCTCCAGGTCTTCGCCGACGTCGAGAAGCAGCCAAACCAGTGCATCCTCGCCAATCCCAAGATCCGCGCCTTGCTCCGCCTCAACGAGGTCGATGGCCGCGGCGGGACTTACAACAACACCTTCCCGGTGGCTGATGGCAACGAGTACTCGCTCTTCTTCATCAATTGCCACGCTCACTCGCAGGTCTCGATGATCGTGGAGACTTCCATGTACAACTTGGAGGGCAGTGTCAAGGATTTCCTCCCGGCCGGCCAGACCCAGCTCCCAGCGCTGTTCTTCACCTTCGCGCTCGTCTACATCGCGCTCACGGCCCTCTGGATCTACTTCTGCGCCAAGCACAAGGAGACCACGCACAGGATCCACATCCTCATGGGAGTTCTTCTCGCGCTCAAGGTGCTCAACTTGCTCGCCGAGGCCGAGGATAAGAGCTATATCAAGAAGACCGGCACCGCGCACGGCTGGGACGTGATCTTCTACATCTCGGGTTTCCTCAAGGGTGTGATGCTCTTCACGGTGATCGTCCTGGTCGGGACCGGGTGGTCGTTCCTCAAGCCATTTCTCCAGGACAAGGAGAAGAAGGTGTTGATGGTGGTGATCCCGCTCCAGGTGTTTGCAAACGTTGCCTCGATCGTGATCGACGAGACCGGGCCGGCGACCAAGAGCTGGTTTACTTGGCGCCAGCTCTTCCTGTTGCTCGATATCATCTGCTGCTGCGCCATCCTCTTCCCCATCGTCTGGTCGATCAAGCACTTGAGAGAGGCCTCTCACTCGGATGGAAAGGCCGCCAGGAACCTCGTCAAGCTCACGCTCTTCCGCCAGTACTACATCGTCGTCGTGACTTACATCTACTTCACCCGGATCGTGGTGTTTGCGCTGACAACGATCACGCCATACCAGTACCGATGGTCGAGCAGCTTCGCGGCCGAGGCCGCGACTCTGGCCTTCTATCTCTTCACTGGCTATAAGTTCCGGCCGGTCGTACACAACCCATACTTTGTGCTGGACGAGGAGGAGGAGGAGGCCGCGCAAGAAGCTCTCAAGGACGACGATTTCGATCTCTAGAAAGTGTGTGACGATTGATGGTGGTAAGTTTTGCTCCTGGAAAGTCAGAAAGAAGAAAAGCTCCACAGAGATTTATTTGCAATCTATCGAGTTCTTTCAAGAACAAGCCCAGCTAGATGTGTTTTAGAGCTAGGAAAGAAGTACCTCGGCGATAAAGCGATAGACGACGATGAATCGCAGCACCCGGTAGAGCGGCTCAAACTCTGTGAAGCCGTAATCCACGGCCAGCTCGCGGAAGGAGTGCTCGTTGATGTGTAGATCCCGCCGCGGCACATAGAAGTTCTTGGCAGCCGCTGGAATTCCCACCGTCTCCCTGGCGAGCGGCGACACTGGAGCAATGCCGTGGAGATTCCTTGGAGCTGAAGTGGATCGGCGCAGCAGACTCGTCACGAGCGTGGATCGGGAGAGCAACCTCGACGCCATTGCCGCGAAGAACCCTAAATGCGACAGCCCTAAAATTAAAACCGGGGCTTCCTTGTTTGACTCTGACGACGCGTTTTCTCGATCGATCTCCCACATTTTGCGATCGATCTTGCTGTCGTCCCGTCCCACAGGAGCTCGATCCATGGCGCGCAAATTGCTCCTCGGCAGCTATGTCTTGCAAGATCCCTTCGCTGGGCTCGAGTACGAGGATCCAGCGACGGAGAAGCAGGCGCACGAGATATCGCAGAAAATCTTGGTAAGGTACTCCCACGATCTTAGCTTCTCGTCCCTGATTCCAGCGCTGGCGACGTCCTATTCCATGACATTCGAGTCTCTCGACGTCAAGACTACGACCACGGCATACCTTGGCCCTCTCAAGCTCGTCTACAAGCCTTTCAAGATCAACCGGTGGCTTCACATGTTCTTTCCGAAGATGAGCAACAGGGTCGAGCTCGGAAATCTGTGGCTCCAGATGGAAAATGTGAGATTTCCTCCGCGAATCGGTGGTACAGTGGAGGATATCTTGGGTGCTCTTCCCAGGGCCGCGAGCTTCCAGATAGTAAGCTTTCTAGACCAAGGAGCTTACGGTGCCATCTACAAGGTGACTTGGTCGAAACAGGAATTTGCGATCAAGCTGTTTAGCAAGGAAAAACACCTCCAGGACGAAGCAGTGATCCATTTCACGCTGGACCATCCTCACGTTGTCAAGCCTCATGGCTACTACCTCAGCGGGAGTGGCAGTAGCAGTGGCAATTGCTCTGACGCCGGGTTGATCATGGAGCTGATGGATGGCGATCTCCAGACCTGGATCAAGAACAAGGTTGAAAAAGACCCCCATCATCCACCGCTGGAAGAGAAAGCTGCGATCGACGTGATGCTCCAGCTCGCCACCGCTCTCATGTACATGCACGCGTTTGGATTGATCCACCGGGACGTGAAGCCGGGAAACTTGCTCGTTCGATTCAACCAGACTTTTCCCAGCGGTCTAGAGGTGAAGTTAGGAGATTTCGGCACTGCCAGATCCGTGGAGGACGGGCAGCTCACGGCTCGAAGAGGGACGCAGTGTTACTGGGCTCCAGAAGTTCTCCAGGGTGACGAAGGATCAAAGTGTTCTTACACGGACAAGGCCGATGTTTACAGCTTTGGAATGACCTTCTACGCGGTCCTCACGGGAGAGACTCCGCTGGACAAGTACAAGGAGTTGTCGCCCGAGGAGTTCTTGGAGAAGATCCGGGGTGGGAACTGGATCATCCCTGGGTTGAAACGAGCCGGGAAGAGGCCTCGGCTGCCGAGTTCCGTCGACCCGAGCTTGGCGAAGCTGATCCAGCAGTGCTGGCATGAAGATCCGGAAGAAAGGCCTCCGTTTGACGTGATCTGCTGGGCTTTGGAGATCATCCAGTGCAAACTCCTTGGAACCGAGATCTGTTCCGCTTTGGACAGGTACTTGATCACGTCGCGAATTTTTTTTTCTCGCTGATGATCTTCTCCTCGTTTTGTTCTTGGTTTTGTTCTTCGTCCAGGAACCCGGAAGTTTATCCGATGAAGCTCGATGATCCTGGCTCTGGCCCCCATGACAAAGTTATACCATTCTCTTTCACGAACCAGCAAAACCAGAGGCTACTTAGCTTCTAAGCTGACAGCGGCTGCCACGTATTTCCAAGTCAGCTCTAATTGCCAGCTTGGCAGACAAGTGGCGTCCAAGCTAGCACTCGACGAGGAGAATCGAACTCGTGTGTCATTACTTTATTCTTTGGTTTTGTGGAGAGGTTTTAGAGCGAGGCGATGGCGCGCAGGCAAGGGATTGCTCCGCCAGTGGCTGTGCCAGCCGCGGCCACGGCAGCGGCGGCGGTGGCGGAGAGCGCCGCGCCGGATGAGAGATTCGTGGAGGATGAGGGATATTTCTCACAGGATCCACAGGAGTGTGTGCCAGCGGTGGCGATGGAGGGCGCCGAGGAGGACGAGATGCTATCGCGATCCATGGTGATGACAAGGGCCGAGGTCGTCAAGCGCCGGCGGCGAAGGGTGAGGCAGCTGATCAAGCTCTATCGGGTACAGTATTGGGCATTGCTCGAGGAGCTGCGCGCCAAGTACCGGAGGTTCTATCTCCGGACAGGGAAGAGCGGCTGGCGCGAGGAGAATGAGGCGGAGGAATCGCAGCAGCCGGGCAATGTGGACATGAGAGTGCCCGAGCGATCGGCCGGGGAGGCGATCAAGTGTGGATTCCAGGGATGCATGACCAAGCCGATGCCGCTCAGCGCCTATTGCTTCGATCACATTCTCTTGGAGCCTCGCCAGTGCTTGTACAAGCCGTGCGCATTCGTTCCTCGCAGGTATGCCGTATGATATTTCGATCGATCGAGTCTTTCCTTAGATTTTTTTTCGTGTCTTGGGTTTCTTTCTTTCTTTTGTTTTAGTCATACTCTATGCATTAATAGTGACATGGTAGATAGGAGTTTATGTTCTTTCAATGTCTTTGCATCGTGTCTCTTTGCTAGACATGCTTTAGATGTCATGGATAGGATTTTACGTTCTTAGAGATACGATCGCTAGAACTTTTTATATTGTATTTCTTGTTAGACAAGTTCTTGACATTTCGTCAAGCCCCTTGACATTGTTTTTTCATGCGTCTCACGTTCTTGCTATTCTTTCTCCTTCCAGTGCCCCGAATGGAACTTGTGGGAAACCCGTTCTTCGTGCGGTAGTGCCATCTTTTTGCGCCATTCACTTCCAGTTAGCCCAGAGGCAAGCTGCTCGAGTAATGAAGAGGGCCGCCAATAACAACACGGTGCCTCCACTGGGAGCGTTTGCTGGCAAAGGCGCTCCCAAGCTCCATGTCTTGATCTCGGAGTACGTTCGAGCCATCCAGAACAAACGAAGAGCCAGGGCCGCCAACCACAGCTAAAGATCTTTCGTATAGGAGGTAGACGATGGTGTGTCCTCGAGTTTTCTTACTTCGTTATGGTCGCAGGTTTAAACCTGCGCGCTATAATACAAAAGGCACTTTGATGCCGACGGAGTAATATTCTACTATTGTTTCTTTCAACTTCAGTACAAAGCGCGTCATTTCGCGCGGAGCCTACAAAGTTCTGGCCTCACGTGAAATATCAGGAGCAGCAGTGTCATTCCCTGGCTATGGTGGCTGTCTCGCTTCAAAGCATCTGTTAAGCTTTCAAACTTCTCCGCTTTGAAGATGGTGAGCGCCGTTTTTGGTTTGGTTGCTGTGTTGAGCTTTCTCGCTTTGCAGGGTGTGCTCGATGGATATCACAGAGCAATGAACGAGGTGTTTGAGCGGTATGGATCGTTTGCAGCTCGTCGTCCGGCTGTTCCGCTCATGTACGATTTTCGCTCTTGCGTTTTTGCCGCGATAAATCTTTTCTCTTTTCACTTTCACAGAATTGGACTCGTCCTGCTTGGAGGAATTTCTTTTGGTCTTTTTAATGTGAAGAAGGAAGCCGATCTGGAAAAGCTATGGGTTGAGCAAAACTCTCGCGTCGTGGAAGAGAAAGAGTTTTTCGATTCGAGGTTCTCTTGTTTGAATTTCGTTCGTATAAATGTAACGTTGTCTGGTTTCAGTTTCGGAGGTATTTCTCGGCTCGAGGCAGTCACAATCACACCACGGGATGGCAAGGATTACAACTTGGTCCATGCGATGGACGCTCTTAAGTCATCCATTACTCCTCTCTATGACAACTTGACCATGACAAGAACGATAAACGGAAAGACATATAACTTCCGCGAGGTATGATATGTGATGATGTCTTCATTGGTTTCAGATTAAGACCATTTTCTATTGCAGAACGATTTCTGTGAGAGGCCTGTTGTGCCGGATTACATAAAGTCTGGTACAGACCCTTTGAAGAACAAAAACTTCATTTCATGGGGATACTCAAAATATGCAAATTGTGCCTTAGAGGCGCTGAATGCTCCTCCTGAACTGCGTTTACCCGATGGATGGGGTATAGACTGGCTTCCTTGTCTGAAACTATCGGCATTAGACTGTTTTAAAGAAGGAGGCGATTTTGACTATCCACCAGCGTTAAAACTACTTGAACAAGAAGGTACACTTCTCTTGATTTATTTGCTCGCAGTACATATTCTATTTTATGGTTTATGATTCAGCTCTCTCCGGGTTACGCATCGCTCAAATTGCTGTCATCCCTAACGGAAACTGTCAAACGGAAGTTCGCCGTAACTACACAGCTCTAAACATCGATGAAAACACCGTCAATGAGGTTTCTAAAGTTTATGGTTTCCTAGTTTCTTAACTTATACAGTATGTTTCAGCTTGTCCAGGGAGTTACTGGTTTGTCTCGGCTTCTTTTGACATGGGGATACAGCTGGAGAAAATCATACGCAGGCATGACCAATCAGCAAGTAATTTATTCAGTTTGCGAACTCAAGCTCGAAAATAAGCTCTGAAAATTTCAGGTTCTAGATCACATAAATGCTGCTCTGCGATTTGGAAAGTCTGCTGATCCGAATCCGACAAATCCTCAGGTTATATTTCTAAAGCGAGTTTTTGATGCTCACTACCGTCACATAGATTGTGGACTGCCTCTCTGGAACGCAACCGTGCTGCATGACATGGTTTGGAGCACACAGCCCAACTCTAACGTCATTGGGTAGTCTGAAGTACGATGCTTCTGGGAACATCACCGAGGTTACTACTTGAAACTTACACGTACTAGTCGTCTGCTCACAACTGTAATTTTGATTCATTATGTCTCTCAGATCAAAGGATTAAGATGGGCCGGAAACAATTTCCATCAAAGGCATCCGGTCTGGGAATCGTACATCTCTAATTTACTAGGTACAAGTTTTCAAGAAAAACAGAGGGAGCAGCTTACTAAAGACTGGGAAGCTCATATGATCAACGAACTGGACCCTCTACGACAGCACCAACCAAGTACAATATTTGGCGACAAAAATATTTATGGTGACCTGCAGCTAGAGTTCAACATGTGGGTATGTAATCAACCATTTTCGCGTCTGCTTGATAAACTTTCCTGACTTTCTTCGATTACAGAGGTCGTCGGAAGACATAATCTCGGATGCCAATAAAACACCAGTGTGGCAGATAGTTCTTAGCGGCATTCTTGTCTCGATATACTCATTTCTGGCTTTTGTCAACTTCAAGGATCCTGTACACTCGTTTACATGGCTGGCTCTCACCGTAAGTACGTTTTATCACCGATCAGAACTAACCTTTTTCTTTGTTTGCAGGGAATGGTTGTAGTTTCACTTGCTGTTATTGCTGGGTTTGGGTTTAGCGCTGCTATTGGAATCAAGCTAACCCCGTTGGCCGGTTCTGTGGTACCTTTCCTTACACTGGGACTGGGTACATGACATCAAGTGTTATGGTTTACATTGCTAACATCTTGTACTATTGTCAGGCATAGATGATGTTTTCGTGCTAGTGAGCGTACTTCGTAATTACTTAAAAGATCCATCACTCAAAGACATAACTTCAAAAGTACCTGAAGCAGAGATGAGAATGACAACTGCTCTCGCGGGTCCATCGGTGGTGTTAACAACGTTTTCTGTTCTTGCTTCATTCTTCATTTCTTCACTTGTCGGTATTGTAATTTGGTATTTCACTTTGCTAATTGGAGTTTGTTTATTTTGTTCACGAAGAGTCCAATGCCAATCGTGAGGTGGTTTTGCTGGCAAATGGGGATCACAGCAACACTTCATACTCTAGGAATGCTTTTGATATTTATACCGATAATGGCAATCGATGCCAGACGAGTGAAGGTAAGTCTGTTTTTATTTATACCTGTCTTTTTCAACACTATGTCGCAGGCCAATGTTTGTGATCCTTACCTTTGGCTGCTTTGCGGGATTCGAAAGAAGGAAAATCTAGGTTCGCTTCTTCGGTTTTGATACCCGCTTGCGTTTTCTTAATCTTGTGTGTGTGCTTTTGTAGAAGGGCCGCTTGCGTCAAAGGACTCCCCTGGAAATTTCAGTGGACATGTCACTGGAACATCCTTCGTATCGCGAGCTGTTGCAAAGTACTATGCTCCTCTATTTGAAAATAATCTGTTCAAGGTCGTTGTGGTGCGTATCTTCAACCTTGTTTTTCTCGTTCTAACCCTGCACGGTTTCAGCTTGTATTGTTCTCAGCATTACTCGCTGTGACAACTTACCTGGGCTTTGAAAAAGTCGAGCACGGGTTATTACTATCCGATATAACTCTGAAAGGTAGCCTTCTCACATCACGTTCTGAGCAACACATTTTCTTGTAACTAGGCTCGTACCAGAACACATTTGCGGTCGTAACAGAGGGAAAATTCTTAAGCTACCAAATTGTAAGGTTGAGTCCCACAATGGTTTCTTATTGAGCCTTGATTTACAGAACTATGTGACGCGAGATATTGATTTTGCGAGGAACCAGGAAAATCTTCTTAAGATATACGAGACAATGCAAAGCAACTTGTCATACTGGACTCCTCCACAACCCAGGGTAATATCGACTTTTTGTTCCTTTTGCGGAGGATGACACTTAGTCCATATAAGAATTTGGATCACTACCCCTCTTCGCAATGGCCTCACAGCCTTCTTTCTTCTTTCAGGTTCTAGAAGCGTCAGTATTGGGAAACATTATGGTTTACACGGCTAATTCTAGACCCGATATAAAAACAGTTCCTGTGAATGTCTCCGGGATTCCGCTATTTACTATCCCTGTCGACGTTTTCGATCAGACTCAGCAAGCCTGGTCATCGACGCCCATAGGTACAGAAGCTCAGTTTGCAAGCTCATCTTTGAAGATTTTGGTCCAGGTATTTTTTCACTGCCCGATTACTACTGCGAGGACAAGACTACAAAAGAACATTTGGATTGTTTCACTACCACATTCAAACCAAATCTTCGAGTTGCGGCTACAAAGACATCTGTAAGTCAGTTTTGTTATACGTCCTTTCATGTTTATGGAACTCTACATGCGTGAAACAGATTTTTATAGAGCACTTGGGTGCCGAGACGGAACCAAATCTTCGTATGATCAGACAGACCAGAAAAATAGCTGACCAGATGAATGCCGAGATCGGTGAAAATGTTGCCTACGTGTACGGGTATCCGTTCCTTTTCTTTGAACAGTATCTTCACAGCAGCCGAAACTTGTACATTGTGGTGGGCTTCGCGTTACGTAAGTTTCTGTCAGCAGTCCATTCCTTTCAAGCAGGCTCACTGGTTTTTTCCTTTGCAGTTGGAGTATTTGTGGCCGTTCTCATTTTCCAGTTCAGCATCGTGATCTCGTTCCTTATCGTGATTGTGCTGCTCATGGTGGACTTGGAAGTGTACGGCTTTATCTACGTTATCGGTGCAAAACTTAACTGTACGTGTAGTTCTACTCTGATGACCAAAACTGACAATCTATCTCTTGCAGCCCTCTCGCTCGTTAACCTTGGCATAGTTGTGAGTACTATGTGTTTAGCAACCTTTCGGCAGTTTCTAACGCTGTCTCGTGGTATTTTCTAGATTGGAATGGCGGCCGAACTCACGTACCTTGCTCGAGCATTCCTGATGGTGGAGGGAACCAGGAACTACCGCGTTGGGAAGGCACTCGAGTGGACTCTGGAACCCCTGCTCCATGGTTTCGGAACTCAAGTGGTCGCGACTCTACCGCTCGTCTTTCTCAAGTAAGCGAAACTTTTAAAACTCCCAAGCCTGCGTTCTCATCATCCAGCCATTTCCCTCTTCATCAGGTACCACGCATTCCGAATCTACTACTTCGCAATGTTCGCAGTCATGGGCGTGCTTAGCTTCCTCAACGGCTTTGTGCTACTCCCGGTGCTTCTCTCGTGGTTTGGACCTCCAGCCCTGCCCAGCCACATCCCTGTTGCCAGCACGCACGGGTTCTCGCACGTCGACGAAGATCAAAAGGGCGACAAAGAGATGGTAGAAACGGAGCCTGCACAGGACATGGACCTGCGCCCCTAGTGGTTTGTCTCTACTCCTTTCTCCTTTCTTTTCTTCCTTGGAACTTATTATTTCTTTCCTTGCAGTTCAGTTGCTATAAAAAAAAAAGCTCACTAGGAAAGAACTTCATGCCTTGGATATGCTGCTGTTTCAAATTCTAGTTAGGGCCAAATGGCAGCAGTGGCAACAACTTCTGTACCTGCACCTGCAGCCCAACCTGCACCCGCACCCGAACCCGAGCGGCCAATCGAGGAGCTTTTCACAGAAGACCAGCTCGTTACTTACAAGGAAGTCTTCTCCGTCTTTGACAAGGACGAAGATGGTAAGTGTTTCTTTCGTCTCTGTCCCTGCGAATGACTAGAACAGTTTCGCAGGCTTTGTGGCGGCCAAGGAGATCGGGCCGATGCTCCGAGCAGTCGTCCAGAACCCGACGCAGGCAGAGATCCGGGGGATGGTCCTCGAGATGGATCCGCTGCAGATTGGGAACAAGCTGTACGACTTCCCCACGTTTCTGCGGTACGTAAGCCGGAGGATGAAGGAGTATGACACCGAGGAGGAGCTGCGGGAGGCGTTCCGGGTGTTTGACAAGGAGCAAAACGGGCAGGTGTCGGCGGCGGAGCTGCGGGAGGTGGTGACGACGCTGGGGGAGGTTTTCACGCCGGACGAGGTGAGCTTGCTCATGAAAGATGCCAAGGTGAATGCCGAGGGGATGATCAACTACGAGGGCCTCATCAAGATGATGATGAAGAAGTGAGCGAGCGAGTGCGGAAGAAAAAGCTAGAGGAGAAGTACCATACCTCGGGCCGGAGATCCTTGTCTCCTCGAAAGTGATGGATTTTCGCGGCTTGAAGCTCGTCGATGTCCACAACTCCAATCCCTTTTGATCCCCACGCGTTAAGTTACGCCTTGATCAAAGCCTCGAAACCAGAACAAGAAGAAACTTACATTCGTAGCCACGAAGAACACCACTGAAAGAAAAAAAAATGAGAATGTTTCATACACACAAGAGTTCTCTTACCTTTCTCGTTTCTGAGAGATTTTCTGGACGATTAGCCAGCAAGCTTAAAGCTGTGATCATCGCAAACATCACTTTCTCAAACGTCAAGGAAGAGAAAAGCTCACTCCTGAGGCTTGGGCTGCGGGATCAGCGCCGCCAAGATCACCAATCGCGGCACAGCTGCCACTGAAATCCGTGACGATCGCGATCTGCCACAGACCTGGCCACATTTGCGCTTTGATCGAAGACGCCAGACGAGCTTGTCGCTATCCACCATAAACCCTAAAAAAACACCAAATGGCCGGGCCACAACGAAGAACAGCGTTGCTTGTCATCGACATGCAGGTACTCCCAGCTCTAGATCGCGCGCGATGGATCTCTCTAAGAATTCCCGTGGCCTAGAACGATTTCGTCCTCCCCGGTGGCCCAATGCACGTCCTTGGAGCGCCAGCGATCGTCCCAGCGGTCCAGAAATCCGTGGAAACCGCGCGACGCCATGGCCACTTCATTGTCTGGGTAAAGAGAAACTATCGATCGATCGATCGATCGATTGATTGATCGATGCTCTTGTTCCAGGTCGTGAGAGAGCACGATGCGAGCGCGAGAGACGTGGAGCTCTTCCGACGGCATCTCTACGACGGCGAGACTGGCCCGACGTGCAAGGGAGAATCCGGCGCGGCGCTGGTGGATGGATTGATCCCACAGCCCGGCGAACACATCCAGCGCAAATTTCGATTCAGCGCCTTCTTCGCCACGAATCTCGACCTGGTGCTCCGCCGCGCTGGAATCTCCCATCTGGTGATCGTCGGTGAGCTCGAAAAGATTTTCCCCCCTTTGATCGTTCTCTCGATTCTTGCAACGCTCAGGTGTCCAGACTCCGAATTGCATCCGCGCCACTGTCTTCGATGCCATCGCGCTCGACTACGCCGTGACAGTCATCGCCGACGCCACCGCCGCCGCCTCTCCCGAAATCCACGCCGGTAAGGAAGAGTTGACATTCCGTACAGCGCTGGCCGCCGCCTTCCGTACTGTTTCTTTGGCTTTGATCTTGCTGCTTGTAGGGAATTTGTTGGACATGCGCAACGTGAGTGCCGCCACTCCAACTCTGGAGGAATGGGCCAAATTGGCTGGCTGAGATCGATACACACTCTCTCTTCATCGCAAAGACCTAATAAGCTCTTCTTTCTTCTCACATCTTGACTCCTCCTCGTCGTAAATGCCGGTGGCGCTCTCCAAGCGATCTTCCAGCCCCGTGTCACCCCAAATCCTCTTCGATTCGCCGCCGGAATGGTCAGCTAAGGATAAGGAGCAGCCGCAGCAGCAGACCATGGCGTCGCGATCGTGCATCGTCAAGATCATCTCCTTCTTGCTCGTCTTCGCAATCTCCGGCACGATCTTGCAGAATTCCCTCGCCTGGCCGCCGCGCGACGACGAATCCCCCTCCAAGAACGGGGACACTAGCGATGCAGCAACGATCTTCAAGCCGCTGCTCCTCCCATCCACTGGCGCCACCAGGTCAGCATCGCGATCGCTCTCCTCCTCGTGTCAGATTCAAGGGCTCGACGATCGTGTTCTTAAGGTTTACATGTATGATCTTCCAGCGGAATTCCACTTCGGGATGCTCGACGCGGCAATCTCCGGTGGCTCGTGGCCTCGAAATATTTCCAGCCTTCCCCGCTACCCGGGCGGCCTCTACCAGCAGCACAGCCCAGAGTACTGGCTCACGGCGGATCTCTTGAGCTCCGCGGATCCCTCGTCTCGCAAGAGCCCGTGTAGCGCCGTCCGGGTCGCCGATCCAGCCACCGCGGACATCTTCTTCGTGCCGTTCTTCTCATCGCTCAGCTACAATCGGTATTGTAGAACCGGGCATAGATTCCAAGGGGGTAGGGGCTGCGTGGAGAACGATCGATTGGAGAAGCGATTGGTGGAGTTTCTCAGGGGCCAGGAATTGTGGAGGAGGAACGGTGGGGTGGATCACGTAATTGTGATGCATCACCCAAACAGCTTGATGGTGGCCAGGAGCTTGCTCAAGGAGGCTATGTTCGTGGTAGCGGACTTTGGGAGGTTCTCTCGGGCGGTGGCAAACATGAGGAAGGATATAGTGGCGCCTTACAAGCACGTCATACCATCGTTTGCTCGCGACGCTACCACGTTTGAGAGCCGTGAGACGCTTCTCTTCTTCCAGGGCGCGATTGTGAGAAAGGAGGTAGGCCATTCTTTCCCTTGTTTGAGTCTTCTTCTTTTTGTGATGTGTGTGTGTGTGTGTGTCTTCTTCCTTCTTCATTGTTTCTCGGTTCCTTTAACACGTTTCATGTGATGCAAGCTTGAGATTCTTGGTTTTTTTCTGGCTGCCAGGCTTCCTCTGAATGACGAGAGAATGATTCATTGCTTGATTTTTAGTCCCGGGACGTTGTCGCCAAGCAAAAACACTAGCGTGTGATGATTCACTGCCAGTCCTTTTCTGATGAACAGTATTCTTTTCCTTTTTTTACTCGCGCGATCGTGGAATCACAGCCTGGGTCTTTCTGTTAAGCCGTTTAGATCGATCACTACCAGCCTAAGTAACTCACGCGCTGTTCTTTCGGTTTTTTGTTCCTGGACAGGGCGGGATCATCAGGCAGAAACTCTATGAGATCCTCAAGGACAGTCCGGGCGTCCACTTCGTGACGGGCAACACCCAAAAGGATGGCATCCGCAGCGCCACCGCGGGTATGAGGAACGCCAAGTTTTGCTTGCACCTGGCAGGCGACACGCCGTCGTCGAACCGCCTGTTCGACGCCATCGCCAGCCACTGCGTGCCCGTGATCATCAGCGACGAGATCGAGCTGCCGTTCGAGGACGAGCTCGACTACTCGCAGTTTTGCGTGTTTGTGGAGTCGGACAAGGCGCTGCGCAAGGGATTCGTGGTGCGAGCGCTCGAGAGAATCGGGCGGGACGAGTGGACGCGGAAGTGGGCGATGCTCAAGAGCGTGGAGCGGCACTTCGAGTACCAGCATCCATCGCTCCCCGAGGACGCGGTCCACATGACGTGGAGAGGAATCGCCAAAAGGGTCCCAGCCTTGAAATCCACGGCACACAAAATCCATAGATACGATAGGCACTGAATGCCATTCCCATGGTTTTGTATAACCTGTGTATAAATCTTACTTTAAACCCTTTGATATAAACCAGGGAGCTTACGTTTAAGAGAGAACCATGTCACTGAGCCAAGTATCTCGGATTTCTTGATGAGCTGCGACTAGAGGCTTGGTAACTTGGAAGAATCCTCTCCTCGCAATCAACATATCCTTGATCTCTCCAAGCTCTCTACTTTCCATCGGCCCATTGGCACAAGGAGTCACAGAAAACTTTTCCCCAAACACAGAACCTGCAGCTTGATACAAAGCTTTCTGGCCTCCTGTTGTTTTTCTTGAGTGTGGCTTTTACGTGCTCCACAAAAGAACTGCCAGTGAAGTTGCACAGCGCCTTGAGATCGCCATGGTCGCGTTCTCCCTTACCCGTCTTCGTCCAGGAATACAAGAGGCGACCGATCGTTAAGCTTGCGTCGGAAAGATGGTTCGTGTCATGCTTCCTTCTATTTTACAGATTGTTTATCGCTCGCTGCTTAACGTTTACGGTCGTAACGGTCTTCTCGAGAAAGCGTCCGGTGTAGATAGTTGCCACAGACCTGTGCATCTTGTTTGATCCAGGAAAAATGTCAATGGTTGTGAGGCTACAGGATTATGATTGACGATCCAATCCCGGAGGAGTTCGTGATCGCCGAATGACAAACCAGTAACCTGTGCTGATGCTACCTCCTAGAAAAAGAAAAAGAGAGATCACCCATCCAGAGATCAAGGAAGAAACTAAACTTGTATTACGTACCCAGGCACCACTTGTGAGATCGATGCCTTTCCACTCGATCTTCGCCAGCGGCTCCGACCAAGCCTGATGATTGTGAGTGTCTCTTGGGACGGTGGCTCCATGAGCATGATGTTCTCGAGAGAGAAGAGCACGAGCTTCTCCATTGAGTCATTGCCACCGGTTGCAACAGCCCGGGCATCGAGATCGGCAAGCCATTCGAGAGAACGGTTGTTGGTCTGGAGCTGGAGCAAAAGCCACGCTGAAACAAGGCACGCCTGTGCGCTCACACTAAACAGTCGAAGGGCGTCCGAGAGTCTATGTGATTGTGAGTGTTGACAACGAGGAACTGCCTTTACGGCCTTCTCGAGATCTGAAAGATCATGGATGGTTTGGATATTTAGCAAAGAGAAGGAAACAATTCACATATGTGCTACACCTGCAAATTTAAGTTCAAGCTAAATGGAACCATCATTGCAAGCTTAATGGAGACAAGGTGATGGCACTGTTTGGTGCATGAGGATTGCAGCTTCCCCAAATCTAGATGATCATCCACCGGGCAATCGAGCAAATAAACAGCACAGATCCTCCATTTGAGCTTTGAAACTGTGGGCTTGTCCAGAAGAAGTTTGGGGACCAAAGTGATCAAACAGAGCCCTTGGATTCCTGAGAATTTGCTCGGCTAAACCAATTCCCCACAGAGGAAGTAACCATAGGAGGCAATCCCCTTTACAGCTCACCTCTTTCGAACAAGCCCTTCCCAACCTGTCAAAGCAGAGCGTGTTTCTGGAGCTTGCTCACCTGGAAAGCCACCAGTGAGACTACGGGAGGAGACCTCACACTAATCTACACGAAATGTCCTCGTGTCTAGAGCAAGGATCTGGATTTCGTGTCACAGGGAGTACTAATATGACCACACACTCAAGGTGCCATTTTATAAGTACGTTTTTCATGTCGCAGTCGTTTGCATGACTGTACTTGGTGGTCGGAAAGAACTGGAACGCGTTTCACAAACGGTTGGTTTAGTCAGAAATATCACGTAAGGTTTCACTTTTTGTTTGCAGGTGTTCATATCAGTAAGTCCAGGAAAACCTATGCAGGACTCTCTTGGTGGCAACACCAGACTGTAATAATAGGTATGCCTTTCGATTTTAGTTTATGT